TCTGAAACCAAGACAACAGTGCATAAGTGTTCGCAATAAAGCTAATAGAATCCTTGGCTTCATATCAAGAAGCATAAATAATAGGAGTCCTCAGGTTGTTCTTCAACTCTATACATCCTTGGTTAGGCCTCATTTAGATTATGCTGCACAGTTTTGGTCACCGTATTACAGAATGGATATAAATTCTCTGGAAAATGTACAAAGGAGGATGACAAAGATGATCCCATGTATCAGAAACCTTCCCTATGAGGATAGACTAAGGGCCCTGAAACTGCACTCTCTAGAAAGACGTAGAATCAGGGGGATATGATTGAGGTTTATAAGTGGAAGACAGGAATAAATAAAGGGGATGTAAATAGTGTGCTGAAAATATCTAGCCTAGACAGGACTCGCAGCAATGGTTTTAAGTTGGAAAAATTCAGATTCAGGAGGGATATAGGAAAGTACTGGTTTGGTAATAGAGTTGTGGATGAGTGGAACAAACTCCCAAGTACCGTTATAGAGGCCAGAACGTTGTGTAGCTTTAAAAATAGGTTGGATAAATACATGAGTAGATGTGGGTGGGTGTGAGTTAGACCTGATAGCTTGTGCTAACAGGTCGGTTGCCGTGTTCCTCCCTTAACTCAATGTGACCTGACCTGACTAGGTTGGGTGCATTGGCTTAAGCCGGTAGGGACTTGGACCTGCCTCGCATGGGCCAGTAGGCCTTCTGCAGTGTTCCTTCGTTCTTATGTTCTTACTGTATATTATTACTTTAATATTATTTATTAGTTTTTGTTTATTATTTTTTATTATTGTTCATAGAGCAAAAATAAGTTCACATTTGAATTCAACATCCCAAAGTTAGTTAGAAACATGTTTTTAAACATAAATTTAAACCATTGTATGCCAGGAGTTATTTGATGGCCGAGGCAAAAATAAAGCTGAAGGCTCTTCCCCCACCCTCTACTCTGGTCACTGCTAGTGAGAAATAGGGGAGGGGGGGATACCATAACTGCATAAAAAAAAATTGGCCATGGCCATTGTTCTGGAATTTCTCAGGTGGGCAGTGGCCAGTACTTGGAGTGGACTGAAACTAGTTAAAAACTATACATGTATTTGGAAAGTGTTTCTCTACTGATTTCTGAAGGAATGAATTGCTTTGGCATTAGCACCTTCTGGGGAAAGAGCATCTCATTTCGAAATTGAATCACTTGTGCAGCATTTGGATGTCTTTATTTTGGAAACGTTTTTGCAAGAAAGTGGGTTCTTCAGTCCAGTGCAGAGATAGGTGGAAGATGAGGAGTTTGAGGTAATCGGTCCCTTATCCTGGAGTCGGTGTGTTCCTTACTGATATCGACTCCAGGCTGAGGGACTGATTACCTCGCACTCCTCCCCATCTTCCACCTTTCTCTGCATTGGATTGAGGAGCCCACTTTCTTGTGAAACATTTCCAGAATAAAGACATCCAAATGTTGCACAAGTGTTTCAGTAATCGTCTTGTTGGTTTTTATAAACCATTTATTCATGTCTATTCTTGTGTTCCACAACTCTATGAAAAAGGCTTCATCCACATTTGCAGAAACTGCTTGCCACAGAGTTTTATACTTTAGAATGGGAAAGCTTTAGTGGGTGAGCTGTAGAGCTGAGAGATAATGCCTTAACAATTAGTTCACTGATAGCTTAGTGTGTGAGTACAGTAACCCATCCATTCAACGAACTTCGGAAATGTGGGACAAAATCTGCCGAGTCAGTAGATTTCTAAACAACGGACAAAGTCCTTTGGCCGCATAAGTGTTCATTATTGTTAGTCATGGTAAAATAATTTCTTCATTCACCACAGTTGCCCTTACTGGCCTGTACTCTATAGTGTATGAGATTGTAAGCTTGGAAATGCAAAACAGTGAAGAATGAAATTTCGTTACAATATACCACTATCATATATAACAATTGTATAGTTTGTACAGGTTAACAAGATACATTAAGATGTTTAAGAATCAGTGTCAGTTAACTTCAGCTGGCTCTGTTCTGAGATATGCATTATTTGTTGTCATTTTTTATTTCTGTAAATACAGTACAGTATAAACACTTCTGTATTTTTGTTCATACAAATTTAAAATTATTTTTATTATTATTATTAAAATAAAAATGTGCTAAACTCTTATTGGATTCATAGGCAAATATGTACAGTACAACCTCTCCTCGCTTAACGATGGAGATAGGGACCTAAGACCCTGTCGGTAAATGAATTTGTCGCTAAATGAGGAGCATACTATAATGGTAGTGGATTTGTGTCAACCGTCTTTGATATTGTTATAATGTCACCCTTACACCATTTATAACATTTCTGGTATATGTATTTTTAAATGTTTATACAGCAGTGTACAGTGGACCCTCGGGTAATGCCTTTAATTCATTCCAGAAAGCTAGCCTTTAGCCGAATTAATTTTCCCCATAAGAAATAATGGAAATCCAATTGATCCGTTCCAGACACCCAAAAGTATTAAACAAAATAATTTTTTTTACATGAAATATACATTTCCCTACACAGAAAACAATGATACATGCACAATAAACACTACTGAAATGACATTTATCTTTATTGTGGACTTGTTGATGAGTGATGAGACGGGAGGAAGGGAGAGGATGAAGGTGTTCTATTGTTTGGAAGGGGAATCCCCTTCCATAAAGACTTCAGGTAACAAGTCTTTTTCTGGGGTTACCTCCCTTCTTGGTTTTTTAATGCCACTGAGAACAACTTGAGTCACTGAACCCCTGTCGCACAAAATATTTGTCCAGAGAGCTCTGTTTCTCGCGTCCCTTTAAGATTTCCCTAAAATGGAACACAGGAGTGTCATTGTACATATTGCCAGTATGGCTTGCAACAGCTGTCAGGATAATATTCATCCATAAATGCTTGCAACTTTGTCCACATCGTACACATTTCCTTAATCTTTGACGAAGGCAACTTCCTCCGTCTCTCTTCCTCCTCCTCTGAAGAATATTCCTGAGCTGTGATCTGTTGCTGTTGCACCTGAAGCTCTTGCAGCTCTGTAGTGGTTAGCTCTCCGTCGTCGTCCTCCACCAACACTTCCACATCCTCGCCACTAACCTCCAGCCCCATGGACTTCCCTAATGCCACAATAGATTCCACAGCTGGCAGAGTCTCCTGAGGGTTAGCCCCAAACCCTTCAAAATCCCTCTCTTGTACACATTGTGGCCACAATTTTCTCTAGGCTGAGTTCAAAGTTCTGCAAGTCACTCCCTCCCAAGCCTTACCTATAAGGTTTATGCAACTGAGGATACTGAAGTGATCTTTCCAGAATTCTTAGGGTCAATTCAGTGTCTGAGGTCACTTCAAAGCACTTTTGAAACACTGCTTTGGTGTACAGTTTTTTTGAGATTTGAAATGACCTGCTGGTCCATGGGCTGGGAAATGACCTGCTGGTCCATGGGCTGGAGGAGAGGAGGGAGTGGTATTAGGTGGCAAAAACTTCACTTTGATAAAGTTCAGCTCCCCCTCAATTTGCTCGTGCAAGTCGTGAGGATGAGCAGGAACGTTGTCCATTACCAGGAGGCACTTGAGTGACAATTTATTTTCCAGGAGGTACTTTTTCACAGTGGGGCCAAACATGTCATAGAACCAGTCCAGGAAAATGTCCCTAGTGACCCATGCCTTACTGTTTGCTCTCCGCATCACATACAATTTAGTCTTGATGACGTTGTTTTTCTTGAAAACACTGGGAGTTTGAGTTATACATGAGTAAAGGCTTCACTTTGCAATCACCACTAGCATTACTACAAAACATTAGAGTTAGCATGTCTTTCATAGGCTTGTGTCCTGGGAGTGCCTTTTCCTCCTGAGTAATGTAGGTCCTGTCTGGCATTTTCTTCCAAAACAGGCCTGATTTGTCACAATTGAACACTTGTTGGGGTTTTAATTTTTCAGTGTCTGTGTACTACTAAAAGTCCTGCACATATTTTTCAGCCACGTTTTTGTCAGAATTTTCAGCCTCACCATGCCTTATCACACTGTGTATGCCACTATGATTCTTAAATCTCTCAAACCAGCCTTTGCTGGCCTTAAATTCATCAATAACAGCACTATTTGGAGGCATTTTCTTAACGAGATCTGCATGCAGCTGCCTTGCCTTTTCACATAGTATTGACTGAGAAACACTGATAATTGTTTCTCATTTATCCACACCAATAAGTCTCTCCACATCTTCAATTATTTGTGATCTCTGTTTTGTAAGCATACTTGCACCTTTCGCAACAACAGCTTTCTTGATTGCCTTTTTGTTGGCCAAGATAGTAGTGATGGTTGAATGGGGTTCGTTATACTATTACCTTTCTAACTCCAAGATACGCACTCCACTCTTGTTCTTTGTGATTATCTCTTTCTTTAATTTGATACTACACCTCACTGTTTTTACCACACTGTTGGCACTAGAAGCTTTCTTGGGGCCCATGGTGGCTTATTTAGCAGTTACAAGCACTAAAAACAATGGAATAATACAAAATATATCACATGTACGCAAGGAATCATCCTCACTGGCTTTGTAAACAATGGCACACTGGCTGTACACGGAGTTATGGAATGGCCGGGCCCGCTCAGGCTACGCGGACATGTTCGAGATGAAAGCCCTTAACCAAATTATTTGGCATTAGCCGAGCCAATATTTTTATGCCAAAGCGAGCTGTTAGCCGATTTTGGCGCTAACCGATGAAGCTTTTACCCGAGGGTCCACTGTACTGTATATTGTAATAAACAGAATTGAGGAAATCAGCTCCAATATAAATTATTTAAGTAGAAATACTGGTCAGAGCTCCCGTCGTAAGTCTGAGGCATCTGTAAACGAGTACGCCGCTAAGTGAGGAGAGGCTCTATGTAGTATTATGTATGAAGAGGCATAATTTTTTTTTCTACAGTATATTTGTATTGAAATAATTATCATAAAACTTGTTTTCATTTATTTTTTCAAGATTCGTACAACAATTTCAGCATTGTGAATTTTCTGACAATTTCTTACTCAGATTTCAGTGTGGTAGTACAATATTTTAAAAAGTTACACAATTAATGTGCTAAGTACAGTATCAGTGTATCAAGAAAATCTTAGTCCCAGGAGATACAACCCAACATATAAAATGTTGATGTCTCCTAAACAACCCAGGTAAGTGAAGTGCAATTTTTCCAGCTATGAAAATTATTAGAATACAGTGCAATTTTAGTTTCTTTATGCAGTACAAATTTTGTAGTTTACACAAAATAAAACATTGGCAGGCACAAAAACCCACTAATTTTGCAATGCATTTTGGGCAAAACTAATACTAATTCCTAAATGTTACTTAAGATCTAGACATACTGTTAAGTACGACTTCTTATGCAGTTAACTACAGTTATAAGAATAATAAGAAAGTTATTGTATTCATTGAGGGTAGTGTTAAACCCACAAGGGCATTGCAGCACCTGGAGAATGGGAGAAGGGTAATGAGGTTTGCTCTTCTGAAGGGAAGCTTTGCTCCCCTTCTTCAGAGCAAAACCCTTTCACTAACCTCCAGGTATCCATACCTCCAGAAAAATGGAAATACTGACAGCACAGTGATTGAAGAGCAGTTTTTATTCAAATTCAAAGTTTATTCTCTATAAGGATTACAATGCTGAGTTTACAGAATTTGGTTATTGTGTGGTTTATATGTAGTAAAATAATAATTACAGAGTGTACCACTAGAACACCTAGCATGGCTAGGCATTTCGGGCAGACTTAGATTAGATCTTAAATTTAAAATATTACAAATTATGAGGTAAGTTGGTATTATGGCTAAGTGACTAAATACTAGTTTGTGAGTTTAGCAATGTGAATGCTTTTGTTTTGGCACAATACGTAGTTTCAGTATTGGAGTATCACAGGCCAACTTATGACTAGTTGGGATTCATTATTTTAAGATTGAGATTGATATTTCTGTTTATGGTCAAATGGGTGAGTGAGTGTAAGTGTGAACCACCAGGTGGTATTCGTGTAATTAGTTGACAGGGTGTATCAGGGAGATAAGATGTTTTCTAATGGTAGTTTTGAAGGTGATTAATGTGTCTGCACTTCTAGAGTTTTCAGGTAGGGTGTTCCAGATTTTAGGCCCTTTGACATACATTGAATTTTTGTAAAGGTTTAGTCGGACACGGGGAATGTCAGAGATGTTTGTGTCTGGTGTTATGCTTGTGGGTTCTGTCAAAACTATCAAGAAAGCGTTTTAGGTCAAGGTTAATTTTGGAATTTAAGGTCCTGTAGATGTAGATTGCACAGTAGTAAGTGTGGATGTACTGAACAGGGAGTAAGTTTAGATCTATGAAGAGTGGTGGGGTGTGTTGCCAGGGATGGGATTTAGTGATTATTCTTACTGCAGCTTTTTGTTGGGTTATTATTGGCTTTAGGTGTGTTACTGCAGTTGAACCCCAAGCACAGATAGCATAGGTGAGGTATGGATATATAAGTGAATGGTATAGTGTGAGAAGGGCAGTTTGTGGCACGTAGTATCGTATCTTGGAGAGGATCCCAACCGTTTTGGATACTTTTTTGGTTATGTGTTGGATAAGGGTATTGTTAGTGTTTCATCACAAATTAGCTTTTTCAAGTACATAAAATACACAAAATTACAGCTTGTATAGTACATCCAAGCAGTGTCATAATTTAGATTAAAATCATTATTTAGATAGCATCTAAATTTACAAAGCATCATCATTTAGATAAGGGGTCATAATAGCTGCTCAGGCTAGGCAAACCCAAAACAATCACACACTTGCACTGATTAAAGTGAGATGAATAAACCATCAAAACTCGTGTCATGACAGCTCTGTCGCATCATGTAGTTCATTCTGAATGTAGATAACTTTGTGGACTATTAACCTGGAATGTTAGTAATCCAGGATAACCCAAGAAAGCCAATCTGTGACGTATTTCCATTGGGGGTCAGGTCCTCTTCATCAGGATGCAACCCGCAAGTCACCCAGCAGTCAGGTACCCTAATGCTGTTGGGTGAACAGGGACAGTAGGTGTTAGTATTCATTTTGTAAACAGAATAAAAAAAATAAAGGATCTCTATTCAGCAGCATTATATCCGAGATTGAAAAAATTACAAAATAGTCCTACACCTGTAGGGAAAGTATAGGTCAGAAAATGTGATGTGAAAGTTGTGGGTTTTTTGTCCTCACAAGTATACACACTTCAGAAAGACTTTTTGTCAGTAATAAAAAAATGGTATAGAGTTTAAAGAACTGTATTTAGCCATGCTGAATTAGATAGCCAATAGCTGCCATTTCAGAGCCACATATTTCGTCAACTATTTTGTTTTTTGCAAGCATACGAGGTCTTCAGCCAAATAAAAGCAACAAAATACAGTTTATTATAGACTTCTCTAAGTCACATGCAATGCTTACAAATTCACACACTCACATTAAAGACTATTACTTAGAAAACAAAATATGGATACCTGGGTACAATCTGCATAGAGGAAACCAAACAGGCTACTAAGGAAGATTAGTCTGTAAATTCACTTATTTGCATAGAGCTGATTAACACCACAGATGGTGTGGTTGAAGTTTTGGCAGTGAGAAGTGAAAATCAAAATCTATTGTACACTTGTATATTAACCGCCCAGATACAACTTACCAGCAGTTCGGAGACCAGCTACTCAAAGCTAAATACTTTGAAAATCCTTCACACTTGGCCCTAAACGTCTTGTTGCTTAGTGATTTCCGTTAGACACCTACAAATGAATGAATGATGTGAAAGTAGTTCAGATGAAACTTAAGGTTCTTGATAAATTTGCCTTAATTCGGCAAATCATAGAGCTAGCTTAACTAGAAAATACTCTTAATCTTGTAGTCACAAATAATGAGATATGGTTCAGAACATAAAGGTACCCAGTACAGCAAACCTTCACCACAGTGTAATTGAAGTTGACACACTAGCCAAACACAAATGCTTATTATGGCATTTTCAACAGATTCAGCTTCAGCAGTAAATACATTAACTGGGCTCCAATAAACCATAACCTCCTGAAATATCCTGGAAGGATAATGAGTGATGTGAATTTAAAGCAGTGCCTCGAGAGAATGTGGTCCAGAAACATAACATTAAAAATTAATTGAAGCTGTAAATATATTGAGAATACGTATACAATACTGACAGATTGCTGAATAAGACACATTCAACACTTGGATATCTTTATTGCCAAAATGTATCCTGCACAACAGGCTTCTTCAGTTGAATAAAACTTACAATACAGTAATAGTTTTGAAGTGATCAGTCCCTCAGCATTAAGTGGTGGTCATCCCTCAAGCTGCTTCACCTCCCTTAATCTCTGGTATACAAGGTCTGGCCACATGCCTCTGCTTTAGGCTTGAGGGATTGACCATCCCCTCGCACAACTAAAGGAATGAGCGGCTCAAAACTACTACTACTGTGTCCAGTGTTATATTTATTTGTATTCTGTTGATGAAGCCTGTTGTGCAGATAAAATGTTTCAGCAGTGAAGATAGCCAAGTGCTGCACATGTTTTATTCAATAATCAAAGATGTGAGCTACAGAAATATGCTCCCTCTACATAGTTTTAAGAGCAGGTATGATATAGCACACAAAGCTAGGAAGGTCTGAATCTGAAAAATGGCAAGTTGAGAGACTCGGCTCCTGCAACCACAAATAGGTTAGCATAACTTCTTTAAGGTTCCAGACTTTATCTGGAGCAAAAAAGGGCTACTATACTGGTTAAAGTAATGGAAAGCAGTGTATGATGCATTATCTGATTTAACTCGGTCTTGGAGAGAAAAGTAGACAAGTCATTATTGAAATTGAAAAACTCGAAATACTTTTTCTTGTATGCAGGATTCAGCACAAAAATAACCTAGGTTGGGTAGGTATGTTTACTTACACTGTTACCCAGATTACCTGGCAGTAAATATGTACCTGGGCATTAGTCATCTCTTGTGAGGGATATTCTTGGGAGGGGGGAAGGGGTAGTAAATACAATAATAATAATTGTTGAGAAATGGCATTACCAGTTAAGTTTAAAGAGTTTGTACTTAACTTAGAAAGACAACTCATCGCCTGCACAGCCGCCCCTGCAGACGAGGTCTTGAGAAGCTGTCGAAGTCATCTCTCATCGGGCTGTAAAGATTTATAATTTGTAAGATTATAAATTACCCCTAGGGGGTGTTATGTCAGCATATTTCATTCACTGATGGCTGACAAACTTACTTGTGTGGACTCAAAAGTCCGCCCCTTACTGCCGACTATAAGTTGATTACAAACTCCTTGCGACTCAAGAACTGCGCAGTCCCCCGTACTACAGGAAATTCGTAACCTACCTTGCTCTTGTAGCGTGAGCTATGGTGTTCTTCACACCTTCGACAGATATCGGTGACTTGATAGAAGCTGAAGTGTCCTTGGATGTCCACGTCTTCCATAGTCTAGGAAAACGCACACTGGTACACTATGTTCCACAAGATTTGTCTTTATTGTTCACAATCTTATCACTAAAGAAGCTGATCACACTTCTCTTAAGTGTTTATTGTGTTTTATGAGATACTTTGTTCACACTAACGCACAGATCATTCTTTGTTGGTTATCCTGGCGTCGGTGTCACTCTCAGTAGAGTCGAAAGTAATCTGAAGATGCCACAGCGCCCCATGCCGCCACTGCCCCTTGCACAAAAAAAATGCTGACCTAGTACTTTTGCTTCCTTGCCACTTCCTCGATGAAGCAAAGCAAATTGTTTGCTTCTTGCTGTCTTAAGCATAGACAACAATGTCCACTATCTTTACTATGGTAATAAAGTGGGAGCAGGATTTTCCTTAATTGTCCTGCTAAAGTAAGAGATGTACTGTCTCTTATTAAACTACACTTTGCAACACTGCACTGCAAGGAGCAGAGGTCAACTTGACCACGTCGCATACTCGTACGGCATCTGTGATCAATTACCCACTGTAGCAGTAAACAAGACGCTTGCCCCTTCTGAGAGGGCTGGGCCCCTCAGGGCTGAAAGGGGCTGAAGGGGGCTGATACCCCCCTCCTCGAGAAAATTTCTCCACAATAATAATAATAATACAAGTACATGTACAAGGTATACAGGCCTAGCTGACATCAGTGACATACTGCTATACAGAAAGCTGCTTGTTGTGCAGAGCATTCCAGGCAAATTAGGTCAGTTTTGTCCCAGGATGCAACCTGCACCAGTCTACTAACACCCAGGGACCCATTTTACTGATGGGTGAACGTAGACAACTGATGTAAGGAAACGCATCCAATGTTTCCACCCCTTCACCGGAATCAAACCCAGACCCTCACCGTGTGAAGAGAGAGCTTTTGCCACCAAACCACGGCCTTCACATAAGCTGAGAAGGATAACAGCTCTTATTCGGAACAGTAAAGTGTAAAATAAAAACTTTGCATCATACTCCATTACTAATGATCCTTAATTTTTTTTTAGGAGAGACTGGGACACTGGAGAAGAAGGCTCCCTCATTGGTCGAGGAATCCTGGATGAGATGGAGAATGAGGCGCAGCACATTCCTTTTTTCACGAAACTCTTTACACTTTCTCAAGTTGTAGGTAAGTTGTCATTTTGTTAGTTGATGGTAATTAATTTCATAATTTTGATATTTAGCACTTTGTTTATATTTTGGCCTTAATTGAGAATTTGTGTTTTGAAGTAATGCAATATTAATAAATTTGATTGTTAGCAGTTTTGCTCCAGAAAAATAGTAGTTATTGTACTACTTATATGGTATTAGCCAAGTTAAATATGCTTGTCGTAAATAAACCTATACGTACTGTACTGTACTTGACTTTAGCAGCTTGAATAATTCAGAATTGTCATTCATTCTTGGTCATATTTGATACGCATAACATGTAACATAGGTCATATTTATTTTTAGTCATAGAGGAGTACTGTACTTTGATCAGTGAAACACTCTTCAATTTCAGTACTGTTAAAGCGTATCACCCATTACACAAGCAATTTAAGAATTTCATTAAGAAGACTGTAATCTGCTTGGTATTACTTCACCTCTCTAGGTATTCTGTCTGTAGTGCTGGTAGGGGTTTGGTGCGGTTATTTCCGTGGAGGGTTTGCTTGGTTCAATGACCCCACGCTGCAGTTCAATTGGCATCCTTTTTTAATGACACTTGGATTGGTCTTCTTTTATGCCAATGGTGAGTGATTTCTTCTCATTCTCTAAATTTATTTTAAATACAATCTTTGCTGACTTAAAGGTAATGAAAGGGTCAGTGATTTATAATAAAGATACTTTACTAGGATAATAAGGTAATTACTGGTATTTAGCTGAAGTTTATTACATTGCTGTATTATGTGTGATTAATATTATATAAAGTCATTACAGCCTTTACACTTATCCAACAAATTAAATCTTGTATTTATAATTGCAAAACTCATGTTGTAGAAACATTGCAAAATTAGTACAGTGGACCCTCTCTTTTCGTCATTAATCTGTTCCAGAGAGTATGATGAAATGTGAAATTTACGAAAACTGAAACCATTTTCCCCATAAAAAATAATGTAAATCCAATTAATCTGTTCCAGACTCCCAAAAGTATTAACAAAAAAATATTTTTTTTGAGATTAAATATAGATTTACATACAGAAAAGAATGACAAATATAAAGCACTAACATGTATAAATGAACATTTAACACTTACCTTTACTGCAGACTCTTGTTGGTGTATGGAAGAAAGGGAGGAGGGGAGAGGGAGGACTGATTATTGTTTAGAAGGGGAATCCCCTTCCATAAATACTTCAAGTACCAAGTCCTTATCCTGGATTACTTCCTTTCTATGTTTTTTAACTCTTTCAGGGTTTCCGACGTACTAGTATGGCTTATGCACCAGGGTTATTGACGTACTAGTACGCGTAAATTCTAGCGCCTTCAAATCATGCGGGAAAAGGCTGGTAGGCCTAGATGTGAGAGAATGGGTGTGGTCGGTGTGCGCGGTAGAAGAAAATCTGGGACCCAGTGGCGCATTGTGGGAATGCCGTTTTAGTAGACCTTGTTTACCATGCCTTGCAGTAAGAAACTCCTCACTCCTCGGCGAATTGGTACACTTTTGTTCCCCAGTGACAGTTCTAATACAGATGGAAGTGCCAGTGAAGATGAGTTTCAAGGTTTTGATGAGGTTTTGACTGAAACTAATGACCATGATATCAGTAATAGTGAGGAAAAACCCAGACGACCCTCAGCCTTCCACCTCTGCTGCTGGGCCATCTTGTTCACGTTCAGTTGTACCAGAATGAAAGAGGAAACTCCTATTTTCCCATATCCCGGACTAATATCTGAGCATTGGTGGTGATAGTGATAGTGAATATGAACCACAAGCTCTTGAAAACAGTTCTAGTAGCGATAGCGAAGTGGAATACAGTGGACCCCCGCATAACGATGGCATCGCATAGCGATTTTTCCGCATAACGATTACTTTTATCGCAAAATTTTTGCCCCGCATACCGATTAAAAACCCGCATACCGATTTTCGTCCGAGACGCGTCCAATGTGCCCTCACATGTGCCGGCCGTCCCATTGTTTACCAGCCAGCCTCCGCGGTAACATCCAAGCATACACTCGGAATATTTCGTATTATTACAGTGTTTTCGGTGGTGTTTCTGGAAAATAAGTGACCATGGGCCCCAAGAAAGCTTCTAGTGCCAACCCTGTGGTAAAAAGGGTGAGAATTAGTATGGAAATTAAGAAAGATTTTGAAGGGTTTGGGGCTAACCCTGAGAAGCCTATGCCAGTTGTGGAATCCATTGTGCCTACTTCAAAGATTAAGGAAATGTGTGCAGAGTGGTTTGAACTGCAAACCTTTATAGATGAAAATCACCCTGACACAGCTGTTGCAAGCCGTGCTTGTGACTATTTCAATGACAATGTTATGGCCCATTTTAGGAAAGTCTTGAAGAAACGGGAGGTACAGAGCTCTATGGACAGATTTGTTGTGCGACAGAGGTCCAGTGACTCTGAAGCTGGTCCTAGTGGCATTAAAGAAGAAGGGAAGTAACCCCAGAAAAGGACTTGCTACCTCAAGTCCTAATGGAAGGGGATTCCCCTTCTAAACAGTAAGAAGATAATGCTCTCCCCTCCTCCCATCCCATCAATCATCACCAGATCTTCAATAAAAGTAAGTGTCATGTAATTGTGCATGCCTTTTTCAGTTTGTGTGTATTAAAATTAACATTTCATGTGGTAAAAAAAATTTTTTTTCATACTTTTGGGCGTCTTGCACGGATTAATTTTATTTCCATTATTTCTTATGGGGAAAATTAATTCGCATAACGATTATTTCGCATAACGATGAGCCCTCTTGCACGGATTAAAATCGTTAACCGGGGGTCCACTGTATTCTCCAGTGAAGCGTCAGTGTATACGACGCTATATGCGCTCTGGTAGTGTGCCATATGCTATCCAAGGGGAAGGAGTACATCTTGGAGTACATCCCGTGGCTGTACAACAGGAACAGATAGTGAAAATGAAGATGATAGTGTTGCAATTGGGATGGAAAATGTGCATAGTGGTGGTAGTGGTGGTGCCGGCTGTGAGGCATCAACAGTGGGCCATGCTGCCACCCATGCCACTGCCTCAGCTGATCTACAACAAAGGCCACCATCCCCCACCCACCCACCACACCAACCTCCACAACCATAACCACCTGTCAATATCCAGTACCCACCAGCAGACTGCACCTGGGATTGGCAGGAAGCTGACAATTTTGTTCCCACTCCCCATCAGTTTGATGAAAGTCAAAGTGGAATACGACCATCTTGTACACTTGGGAACAATGCCACTGAACTAGAATGTTTCGAGTTATTCTTTGACGAACCCCTGATGGAAATTGTCAGGGAAAGCAACACATACTTCGACTACACATGGCAAACACAATACTTTCACCAAAATCACGTCTACACCAGTGGAAGGAGACAATGTGGCTGAGATGTATCTTTTCTTTGCCACAATAATGCTTATGCCCATGTGTTAAAAAGCACAATGTCAAATCATACCGGTCAAAAACTGCTGATTGCAAAAACCAGATTCAGTGAATATAATACAGTGAATCATTGTGCTACTATTAGTATGCTTCATTCTCAGACAAACCAGGGCTGACAGAAATTACAGGTTTATATAAGATTAGGGAAAGTGGGTTTGTGTACCGAAAGAAAATCAGTATGTATTTTTTCCCCTCAGGAAGCTTGTTATTGATGGTCTTGATATTTTTTTTTTTTTTTTTTTAATTTCTTGGCTGAGAACAAGTCTGGAGAAGGGCTGTCGACCTGAAAGGGTTAATGGCACTAGGATCAGTTTGAGTCATGGGCCCCCGTTGACAAAAAAACTGTCCGAGAGCTCTTGCAGTTTACCTTCTAACCATCACTACCACCCTTCTACCATCATCATACCCCTACCACTCTCTACCACCATCACTACCATCCTCTACCACCATCACTACCATCCTCTAAACCCCTATCACTACCACCCTCTACCCCCACCACTTTCGTATTTTTCTACAATCTTTTCTTTTAAATTCTGCGTTTCCCACCTTTACCAAAGGGCGAAAAACGCTTTTTTTTGGGCCCATGGTGGTTATTTAGTGCAAACAGAAAAAACAAGTGCCAAAAAAAAAATAATTTTTACAAAATTTTCCTATGACCTCGAGGATAATGTTAGTTACTGAGAAAAAAAGCGACACTGCCCAGATGGGTGTGTGGGGGTTTGTTCCCGTGGGGCCCCTGACATTTTCCCGCCACCGGTGAGAATGGAGGAAAGTAACAAAAATGGGCCAATATTTTTTATGAAAAAAAAAACGAGATAATTGAAATTTACGAAAACAGCGCCC